ACGGGGGGCCGGCGCCCAGCCACTTCTCGTCAATCCCAGAGCAGGTGCTCGCCCCCCACTCAGCCCCACGTGCAGATGCCCCACCCGGAACGGGGGCTTGTTCTGGCTCCATGGCTTTAAGCTAGTGCTACCGAACCCCCGGCCAGGGAGCCCTGGACACCCCCACAGCCCGGCCCCGCCTGCGGGAGCTGCCCAGGCACCCACCTGGTGATGTCGTACACCAGCAGGGCCCCGGCAGCGCCGCGGTAGTAACTTCTGGTCACCGACCTAGAGAGAAAGGAGAGAGACTCAGCCGTCGGCCGGCGCCGGGGCCGGAGCCCTTCCATGGGCTCTCAAGCCCCAGAGCTCGGACGTCCCAGCCCGCCAGGCCAGTGACCCCGTCCCCACGGCGAAGAAGGGTGCTGGGGGCCAGCCGGAGAACAGGGGGGAGGGTCTGGAGCCACCTCAGAACGGCGAGGTGGGCTCCTCGCGGACGCTGGCCACCTGCCCCCAGGCTGAGACGGGCACTCGCCAATGGGAAGGGCACCCCAAGGGGCATCCCTTTGCCCCTGGGGCCGGAGCTGGCAGCGCCCATGTGCCATGTGCCCAGCAGCAGGGCCGCCCATGTGCTGAGTGCCCGGTGCCGGTGCCGCCCCTGTGCTGGCACCGCCCATACGCCGCACACCCAGGGCCAGGGCCAGCACAGACCTCGTGCCGTGCACCCCGGGGTGGGGCCGGTGCTGCTAATGTGCCCAGGGACTGGCTCCGCCCATGCGCCGCGCGCCTGGGGGATCTCGGTGGGGCCTTTAAGTGCTGCCGTAATACCACAGCGGAAATGCAGGGACGGCTCCGGGGCTAGGCCCGCGTACAGCATCCCTCCTGCTTCCAGACTCAGCCCCACATAGGCCTCTCCCCGCTGGGTAGCACCGGTGCGGAGCGTTGTGCTGCGCTGGGAGCCATCCGCCATGTCCCACCCCAGAGGGGGCTACAGGGCGGGGGGAAGCGACCCCTGTTCACACCTGCTGCTCACACGGGGCTGCTGGGCCTCCCCCCCCCAATATTTTAGTCAGTCTCCGGAGTGAGTCTGGAAAGGCGGCTGCCACGGGGCACGTTCCTTGGCCGTCACTCCGGATCCCCGGCAAACTCCCCCTGGCCGGAGAGGTGTTACCTGAACCGTTCCTGTCCCGCCGTATCCCAGATCTGCAGTTTCACCGTCTTCCCCCCGACATTGACGACCTTCGACCCAAACTCCACGCCAATCGTGTGGTTGGAATCCTGCTTGACTGGAGGAGGCAGAGCGCCCAGGTCAGCGGAGGAGCCTGGGGGTCTAAGAGCGGATTCCCGAGAGCCACGGCCCAGCTGCAACCGCGGGATTCAGCCCCACGCAGCCGGGAGGGCTCAGCTGCCCACACAGAGCGGCGGGGTGCGAGGGAGGGTGTAACTTACAGGGCTTTTAGGGCTACCCGAAGGGACAATATTAGCAAGACAGATGCTCAGTACAGACCAGCTCCATGGTTCTTCTAGAGCCCCTCACTCCCCACCCACAGCTCTGCCCCACCAGCCCCGGGCTCCCCCAGCCCTGCTGGTGCCCCTCATTCCCCACCCACAGCTCC